ATTTTAAAATTCCAATATATAGGTATCAGATTGAAGTTTCTAATGAAAACAAAAGGCAACTTCAATGTTTTCAAGAACAATGTTGAGAACAAAAGGTATTAAATGCTATTGGTGATCAAAACTCTGAAAAACTTGGACTGCAAATATATATATTTAGCACAATTGATGATGCCAATATCAAATTGCAATTACAGAAAAAATACCCAAATTGAATATAAAAAATAGTAACCATTTACCAATGTGTTAGGAGACATCATTCTGTTGTATACTACAGAAATCCAACTCAAACTACTTTAAGCACACACAGAAAAAGATTCATTAACATGTAAATAAAATAACGCAAGATATTACTCAAAGTAATATAAAACACTGGAATTCTAGTGATGACATCAGAATTTAGATTATGTCTCTTCTCTGTGTTAGATTTATTTTGCCCCCATAGGGAACCCTGGCTACTAAGGCTTATATGGCCATCTTGTTCTACCGTATAAGAGAGCTTCTCCTTGTCAAGTTCCAGAAAAGATCCTTGCATTACTATAATTCCATCAAATTCCTGAAGTTTAAACAATTAAAATTCTCAGTACTGGCTACAGACTAACAAATTTCATTGTTTGTGAGAATGGAAATTGGCAGCACCATTGTAGAGAGTGATTTGTCAGTATCTGAGCAGGAGGAAGGATATTATGAGGGACATGAGTAAATTTTTTGAAGTCAAATAGCATCTCTAAACATAAGAATCTCTGGTCAAAATATCCAATTTCTGGAATGTAATCTTAAGAAATAATCAGAATAAAAATATTTTATTCATCAAAAATTAATCAAAACCTTATTTAGCATTAAATGAAAGTTTCAAAGATGTTTTTACTATTAATATTTTCAGTTATGCTTATAAAAAGTTATAAGCATAAGTTATAAGCATCCAAAGTTATAAGCAAAAAGTTATAATCATCCAAAATATTTTTAACTTCATAAAGAACAAATAATCATCTAAAATAAAAATGTTAATATCTTTAAATAAAATACCTCTAATTTCAAAAATCAGAAGCATTCAATAATATGAAAACTTTAAATTGTAGTATATACTTTCAAAAAAATCATCATAGCATTAAATATTATTTATCCTAATTTTAATTTTGCCATTTATCTAAATACATAGATGTAGGTATATTTGTGTTGCCTTTTAATCCAATTCTATAGTGTTATTTCTTTTATAACCTCCTTCCCTCTTGTGAATTTCTTTTCCCTCTTTCCCGTATTTTCTGTATTATTGTATACTATGGAGCTCATCAAACAGAACTTCTTTTCTATTTAGAAGTAGATTATATTCTGAGGATTTTTTTTTAATATTTAGATTATCAAGTACTTTGCCTGACATCTTTCCTCATAACCATGGCACTTTTTGCTCAAGGACCCTATGTTTTGGGTTTTTTTTCTTTTCACTCGTTATCAGTAAAGACAGAGTTTGCCAAAAGAAAGAATGAAGATTTTTTCTTCATCAGTCTTCACTTGTACGGGGGTCCTTTTTCAGAGCTACAGTTGAACTTCTCAGTGGTCAGTCCTACCACTTAGCAATTGCTGATTCAAAACGAGAAGATTTTCTGGGTTTGGTTTTGTTATTTTTGTTTTTTAATTTGAAGTTTCGGCATGTGTGTGCAGTCATTTCCATGAGAGCTGAAAATAACTGCAGAAGGTGCACCATCTTCATCTAACAGTTGCTGAGGGATAGAAAGAAAGACTTTGTTTTCCTGAGTTAAGAATTTACTCCCAACCTTGTACAATGTTTCCAGGTAATCTCTGTACATTAGTCTGCTTTTCTATGAAACCAACTACCTCAGAATCTCAGTGGTTTAAAGTAACATTTAATTCCCTTGCTCCTTGATTCCTTGGTCAGCAGGGTGGTGCTGATTCAGGTCTGTTTCATCCTTGTATCTGGAACACGTATCTTTTTCATGAGGACTAGTAGAAGTATAAAAGGAACAAGTAGAAACAGTATATTTCATAAGATCTAGGTTTGGAAGTGTCACACTGTTGTTAACTGTCCATTCACTGGCCAAGGCATGTTACATGGCTAAGTTTAAAAAAAAAAAAAAAAAAACGGCAAAAAAAAGATACTTTGACCATTCTAGTGAGAGCTACCTACTGCAAAGTCAACTAGGAACATGCATCAATTAATTCTATTACAGAGAGGGACTGAAGAATTGGTAATAAATTGGCAACACCTATCACATTCTGTTTCATGAAGCAAACCCAGAGTTTATCATGTATTGAAGCATAAACAGATCTTACAGTTAATAAATTCAATCTGCTTTATAATGTATGTCAGTTTCTTTCACATCCTCTCATTAAATTATCTGTCAATCTGGGCTTTTTTGCACTACAAGTTTTTATCTTGTTCTGTGTCCAGTGGTATATTGGTGAGAAAATGAATGAGATCTTGTTGGGACTTGTTAGAAAGCCATAGCTTGAACTGATAACTTGCATTCTGTTTTGCTTTTCAAAACTAAAGTTGAATTAGACTTCCATTTACAAAGGATACTAAAACAATTTTCAAGTTATATGTCAAAATATATAACTTTAATCCTACTGATAGTACAAAGCAACTTTGTAAACTTGGATAAGCCTGGATTCTCTCTCAGCTTCAGTAGTTTCATCTGTAGAGAAACAAAATTTTAGTTCTTAAAGTCAAATCTTGAATAACGGCGTATTTTTCAGTAGTAAACAAAATATTTTACATGTGCTATCAAACAAATGAACAGACATTGTATCCTATATATTTGAAAACAACTCACAATTTTTCAGTTAGGCTAGTTACTAAAATGTATTGAAATTAAAATTCTAATTAAAATTAAAATAACATTTCTGATTTATCTCATCTGGGAAGGGGTTGGAGAGAACCCTATAGGGTATGAAAATATTCTATATCTTGATAGAGATGTGGGTTACATAGGTATATGCATTCATCAAAAAAAAAAAGTACATTTAAAATTTGAATATTTCACTATCTTTAAGTTTTACCATTTTAAAAGAACTACAAGCAATTTAGAATGCCTTTAAAAGGCATTTAAAATTAACTTATAAGTCTAGGATATTTTGAACATCAAAATATATAAATAACAATAAGAAATTAAAGTCCATTGAATAAAACAAGAATCCATGGTGCCAATGCGGACAGGAGAGAAGGAAGGGTTGTTCCTCGAAGTAGCCTGTTTACAAATAGAGGAAGTGATGGTCCAGAGGCAAAGGCATACTTGGCGATCTTCACTCTGGCTACTGGTGTAGACTGTGAAATCCTGATTAGATGAAGTGAAGGTAAAGAGGTAGATAGTAGCCTAAAGTGTCCTATAATGTAATGTAATGTAAGTCACTTCAGTCGTGTCCAACTCTGTGCGACCCCATAGACAGCAGCCCACCAGGCTTCCCCATCCCTGGGATTCTCCAGGCAAGAACACTGGAGTGGGTTGCCATTTCCTTCTCCAATGCATGAAAGTGAAAAGGGAAAGTAAAGTCGCTCAGTCATGTCTGACTCTTAGTGACCCCATGGACCACAGCCTACCAGGCTCCTCCATCCATGGGATTTTCCAGGCGAGAGTACTGGAGTGGGGTTCCATTGCCTTCTCCAAAAGTGTCTTAAGGCTGAGTTAAACATCCTGGACTTGTTTCCTTTAAGAGTCATGGAGACCCACTCAAGGACGTTAAGCAGGGCATTGGCATGATTAAGCCTGTACTTTGTTGTCATACAGTTGCTCAGTCGTGTCTGACTCTTTGCTAGCCCATGGACTGCAGCACACTAGGCTTCCCTGTCCTTCACCATCTCCTGGAGCTTGTTCAAATTCATGTCCATTGAGTCGGTGATGCCATCCAACCATCTTGTCCACTGTTGTCTCCTTCTTCTCCTGCCTTAACTCTTTCCAGCATCAGGGCCTCTACTTTAGGATGTACAAGTCTGTACTTTAGGATGACCATATTCATGTCAATGTGAAGCACAGAATATTCACTAGGCAGCTACTGCAGGAACATTGCTGATAGATGATAATGGCCCAAGTTAAACTAGTGGCAATGTGAATGGGTACATGGGGACATACTTTATGGCTGTTAGGCAGCTGAAATTTATAGGACATGGCATCTAACTAGATGTAAGATAGGAAAGATGTTAAAAATGTCTTTTGGTTTTCTGGTTTGGGCAGCTAGATGGACAGTGGTTACCACTCAAAAGATAGAAAACAGAGAAAAAGGAGTGTGTTTCTTAATCCATTTCTTGATCTAAAAGTTGCCATTGTTTTAATCATCTTGTAGGGTTGCCTGCACTACACTGAGACCTAAATCCCCGGCACAGAGATGTTTAATAAACAACCATTAGTTCTATGTACAAAGTTGCAGAGAAACAGGTAGCTGTAGGTGATAGGAGACAGAATGGTTACTAAGCATGCCAGAAAGGCACGGGAGTGCTATAGACAGGCGACAGGAAACCAAGGCGGATGCTTTTCCTCTGTGATCTCATAGTACCTAGGCATCCTTTCCTCTTTTCCTGTGAGATTTTAGGACCAGGGTCTGTGGACTTATTCACTGTTGTATCTGTACCTAACACAGTGCCTGCCACAGAATAATAATATGCAATAATCATTTGTTGAGTGCCTGAAATGAATGGATGGATGAAAGCAAAACTAAAAAGGCAGCTTGAAGTATTACAAGAGAATGAATTTAGATCTTTATCATAGACAACTGATTGCCTTTGTCCTTTAGGTCAAAATACATTGTCCTTTCAATTCTCCAACAGTACCACGCCTTCTCCAATTGCAGGGCCCGTGCACCTGCCTGAAATGCTCTTTCCTCTCCCACCCAGAATCAATGCCCCCTTTTCCTTCAGATTTCAGATCAGTCATCCTTTCAATAGGGAAGGATTCTTGCTAATGCAATCAGCCCTTCTACTATATTACCCTCTTGCACCAGGCATCTGTCCTGTGTCATTCTCACCGAAATAAAGCTCTATATTTATGTCTGTGACTGTTTATTTAGTAACCGTTTCCTTCAGTAGACAGAAAACTTCAAAGGATAGAATCATGTCTGTTTTTTATTCACTAATCACCCAGGACCTAAAGTATAGTGCTTGACACACAAAATAGAAGCTTGTTAAATAGATACATTAATTTAACACTGTCTCATCAGTAGATAGTTGGTTCATCTCAGCACTATCTATATAGTCGGGCTCAATAAGTAAGAGTTGCTTGTTAAATGAAAGGTTAGAATTGATTTTCTTTCTCAAGTTTGTAAACAGTTGTTGACTAGCATGCTTGAAGCAAATAAATTCATTCCTACAATTAAAAAATAGAAAGAGTGATGGAATTAGAAAAATCAGTGAGTATTTAAGTGATTGAGAGTACAATTTTGCTAAGAAAATGACATTTACATAATTTCAAATTACTCCCCACAGAGTATTAATTATGAAGGGGAAAGGGAAATACAGTGACTTCATAGTAGATAAACTTTGAAGATAACCTTTTAACTATATAATCAAATTAATATCATATGCCTTTTACCTTCTGTGATATTTTGTGATGCCTTCTGTCATATTCCTGATTCTTGTGATATTCCTGACAAAAATGTAATAGATGAAACTTATGACTCAGATATATAGAACAGACTTGTGGACTCTGGGAGAAGGCGAGGGTGGGATGTTTCAAGAGAACAGCATCGAAACATGTATATTATCTAGGGTGAAACAGATCACCAGCCCAGGTTGGGTGCATGAGACAAGTGCTCGGGCCTGGTGCACTGGGAAGACCCAGAGGGATCGGGTGGAGAGGGAGGTGGGAGGGGGGACCGGGATGGGGAATACATGTAAATCCATGGCTAATTCATTTCAATGTATGACAAAAACCACTGCAATGATGTAAGGTAATTAGCCTCCAACTAATAAAAATAAATGGAAAAAAGAAAAAAAACATCATAAACATCAAATTCATACTGAGATATTTCACAAGATAATGACATATGTGTGTGTATAGGGAATTATGTAAAATGTTAAATATCTTGGTCTTGATCATTAACCAGTATTGTATAAGGGAATGTTTTTATTAAGTTTTAAAAATTGAAGGATTTAGTGGTAAAATAACATGCTTTCAATGGATAAATAAGCTCTTACTTTATAGCACAGGGAAATATATCTAATATCCCATGATAAACCATAATGGAAAAGAATATAAAAAGAATATGTGAATATGTATAACTGAATCATTTTGCTGCATAGCAAAAATTAACACAAATTGTAAATCAACAATATTTCAATAAAAAAAAGAACATGATTCCAATTGACACAAATACACCTGATTTATTCTGCTCTCCATCTTAGACAAGACCCATGGCTTATAGAATTTGAAATAGTAGCAGAAACACAATCTACAGTTTCATTCCTCCTTTTCTCTGCAACTGGCAAGAAATGATCAGAAAGAGGGAGATGATAATGGTTGGCTAATGGTTGAGTGTGCCAGGGCTCACATATAGCCTCTTAACAAATCCTAAAAAGCAGTTATATCTCCAGCTGTTTGTTGGTCTCTTTAGAATATCTCTTTTCAACTGGGGCCCCATTTATCTACTAAGGAACAAGAAATAGCCCATTTACCGTTCTGTGATATCTTACGTCTCTAACGTTCAAAATCGTACTTATATCCTTATATAGTGTGGGTAAATATAGATTCTTTACGATCTTTACAATCTTGAACTCATTATTTACACTGACTCTTACCTAAACATCATTCTGCATTTCCTATGTATAGATAATCAAGTTGTCATCCTTGGACCTAGAATGTTTCCTGAATTCTGTGCATGCAAGCGTGCTCAGTCGTGTCCCACTCTTTGCAACCCCGTTGACTGTAGCACACCAGGCTCCTCTGTCCGTGGGAATTTTCTGGCAAGAATACTAGAGTGGGTTGCCATTTCCTTCTCATTATACAAAGATAAAAACCGTAAATCACATAAAAATGATTTAAGTTCTTTTTACATATTACATGCATACATATATGTGTGTGTCTGTGTATATATGTTTTATTTTTAAAATATGCAACCTGGGTCTGGTATTTGAGTCAATTAACTCTGCTACTAGAAATCTTTATTCAGAAATGTATAAAGCAAAGTTCGTGCTTCTCCATAGACATTACATTTCCCAGATATTCTCATGGCCCCTGGAGAGCCGCTAGCAAAAAGTATTACCAAGTAGGAAGAAAGCTAAAGAAGTCACTGAAGCATAGTGTCAGAGAGCTCTACATAAACAAGGAAAACAAAGATTTATACAGTAATTGTGGAAAGAGAATATGTGGGTGTGAAGAATAAAATTGGCCCTGGAGGTTTCACTACAAATATATTGCCATCAATTTTTCTGGAGATAAGGTAGAAAATTGTCTGATGACATTAAAATGCAGTAGAGATTGAAAACAGCAAATGTGTAGGAGACCAAAATGACCCCCAGATAAAACTTTACCCTGTTTATAATGTTTATATCTATATAGCTGTGAACCAGCAATTCTCTTGCCAACTGCGTTTTCCTTTTGTAACCAGGTGATGTGTGTCATATAGACATCAAATTCCACCCAGAATTAAGTTATGTGACTTTACAATCAAATACTTAATATTTAGAGCAGAAGAGGTTATGTTTGTCTTACGTACAAAGAAAATAACGTTTCCCTTAAACAGTCATGCAATCATTTAGTATATAACATACAACAGCCATTGTGAAGAGAAAATGTGCTAAACAAATAGCTATTAAGGCAAGCAAAGTAATCTTCTTTGAATTCTACCACTCATAATCCCAAGGTTGTAAACAATTAGCATTTCTTTCTCTTAGTACACTTATTTGTAAAATAAGACAATATTTAGGGTCATTTTTGTCATTTCTAACAATTTTGAAATTCTGATTTCAAATACTTGTAGAAAATATCTTTTAGAGCCTTATTCCAGAGAGAAAAACAGTGGATTTAAGTCTTTTATGTCATTATTAGTCTACTACAAATAGAAACTGGTTTCTTCAAAATGTAAAATATGCAGACTCCTCAAATGCTGCAGTTACCTTTAAATATAATTCTGCCATTCTTAATACCTTACTTTTCCTTGTTTCTAGAGAAATAACTAGGGGCAAGTCTCTGCAAGGCCTCACCAAAGAAATATCATGTCTAGGGAAGGGGGTGGGTATGTAGTTATTTTCTTTTCCTTGCTCCATCTGTTGAGGAGATCTATAAGCAGTTATATACCAATAACAATAAAAACATATACAGGTAAAGTATTTCATTTAGTCCCTAAATTGTGTCCAACTCTTTGCGACCCCATGGACTCTATCTGCCAGGCTCCTCTGTCCACAAGATTTTCCAGGCAAGAATACTGGAGAGGGTTGCCATTTCCTCCTCTAGGGGAACTTCCTGACCCAGGGGTCAATCCCAAACCTCTCTGCTTCTCCTGCATTGGCAGGTGGATTATTTACTGCTCAGCCACCGGGGAAGCCCTACAAGTCAAATATTTGTTTCTAAATATAACTCTCCACTAAAAGGAACCTAGGCTCATTAAGGGGAAAAAAACTGATTTTAGGGCTGAGGAAGGGAAGGTACATGAGACTGGAACATTTTTTTATGCTAGAAAATAAGAAAGTACCCTGAGAATGATGTGGTGGTGGTGGTTTAATTGCCTAGTTATATCCGACTCTTTGTGACCCCATGGACTCTTGCCTGCCAGGCTCCTCTGTCCATGGGATTCCCCAGGCAAGAATACTGGAGTGGGTTGCCATTTCCTTCTCCAGGGGATCTTCCCAATAGAATTATATTACTGTCAATTTTTATTTTGAGAGTTATGGTTCTTAAGAGAATGTCCTTGTTCTTAAAAAAATAAACATCTATCATACCCACAGTAACATAAATATTTTATCTCCAACTTACACTTAAATAATTCAGAAAAATTTCACACACACATGGAGAGAGAAAGACTATAAAAATTCAGTGATAGCAAAATATAAACAATTGGGACAAACAAGAGAGCTTTATACCATCCTTGTAACTGTCTCTAAATTTTAAAACATATGTCATGATTTTAAAAATCAAAAGAGATCAAGAATGTAGGTGATATATTTCACTGTACTGGAAAATAATGAAATCCTCCCCTAGTATTTACAGTTGGCTCTGTTCTCAGTTTTAGAGCCAGTCAGTTAAAGGGGTGGCTGGGTTTTCTGGAGAAAGAGCCCCACAACACCCAGCAAGCTTATGTAATACTGATCACTTCAGATTTCCCTAAGGGACCTACAGGTGTTTACCAGAGTCACTGTCTCTTTGTGAAAAGAAGATTGATCAGATCCTTCAAAGGCTATTGCTTATAAGAAATGAAGTGCTACACACACACACGTGTGTATGTGTGTGTATGTACTTTTAAAAGGAAGAGAATGGGCAGTGGTGTACTGGTAGGCTAACTCTTGGGGGGAAAAAAAATCCTAATTTATAGTGTTTGCTGATTTCTGAGGCATATGTCCCCCACCATGGCCAATTTCAAGCTACCAACAGTTTGACTTATGAATGTTTAAATGTTTTTCTAATTTTTCAAATGTTTTAGTATTGAGGTGTAACTGATGTAAGGGCTTCCCTGGTGGCTCAGTTGGTAAAGAATCTGCCTGTCCATGCAGAGACATGGGTTCCTCGTCTGGGTCGGGAAGACTCCCCCGGAGAAGGAAATGGCAACCCATTCCGATATGCTTGCCAGGGAAATTCCATGGACAGAGAAGCCCTGTGGGCTACAGTCCACAGAGTTGCAAAAGAGTTGGACATGACAGAGACTAAATAACATCAATAACTGACATCAACCTCTGTTAGGTTCAGGTGTATGACATTAAGAATTGGATATGTGTAAATACAGCAAAATGACCCCCATAATAACTCTAGCTGACATCCATCTGCATACATAGTTCAAAGTGTTTCCTGTGATACTTTTTAAAATTAATTTTTACTAGAGCACAATTGATTTACAGTGTTGCATTAGCTTCTGCTAAACAGCAAAGTGAATCAGTTATACATTTACATATATCCACTCTTTTCTAGATTCTATTCCCATANCTTTTTAAAATTAATTTTTACTAGAGCACAATTGATTTACAGTGTTGCATTAGCTTCTGCTAAACAGCAAAGTGAATCAGTTATACATTTACATATATCCACTCTTTTCTAGATTCTATTCCCATACAGGTATTATGTATTACATTACCTGTATGTAATACCCATATAGGTATCACAGAGCATCGAGTAGAGTTCCCTGTGTATACAGCAGGTTCCTATCAGTTATCTACTTTATATACAGTACTCTGTATGTGTCAACCCCCGTCTCCCAATTTCTCTCTCCCCCTCCCTTTCTCCTTGGTAATAAGTTTATTTTCTATATCTGTGAGTCTATTTCTATTTTGTAAATGGATTCACTTATAACACTTCTTTAGCATCCATTCTTTCTTCTTCTTTCAGTCGCTCAGTCGTGTCCGACTCTTTGGAACCCCATGAAGCGCAGCACGCCAGGCCTCCCTGTCCATCACCAGCTCCCGGAGTTTACTCAAACCCATGTCCATTGAGTAGGTGATGCC